AAACGCTTATAAATTAATTTCCAAAGAATGTAGTCCTAACGGCGATATAACGTTCATTTTTATAAATGAGTATGAATCTTTTTATAATGTAAATTGCTATGCAGATATTTTTTTACCAATGTAATGAAGTAATTAAAGTTTAAGTATTAAAGATAATCGATAGTTAGAGTTTATATGGTAATTAATATTATTCTATAAATATTTTATAATTCTYATAATTTTTATGAGTGTACTATGTTATTATAAGAACCTACCTAATATTACATCTATTAACTTTAATAATACTTTGATTTTAATCTTGAGTGGAGTTGAAGTCTAAAGTTAAAAATTTAAAATCACAAAGTTTAATAAATCAAAAACTACTCGTTTGAATTTTATTTCAGGTAAATAAACATTTTGAAAAAAACCATCTGTTAAAAATTTCCAATAAAATATGGTTCATATTTGAAAAAAGAATTTGAAAAAAGGACTCTCATTTATTCCTTATTTCCTTATCGTATAAAAAAATCGTATTATTTTTAATGATGGTCATTGTGAAGTATAGGTACTTACTTAAAAAATTACAAAAATCAATATTTTAATAAATGCATTAATAAAAGATAAAAGAGACCATGCTTAGTAAATCACAAAATATACCTATACATAAATATCCGTTTGGTTGGCTGCACTAATTTGTTTAGTCAATACTTATGCTACAGTTTTTAAACAATGATTATCTACCGAATGGAAATTATAGCTTATTTTATATAACACTGAATTTTTACAAATATATTATATTTTATGTTTTATCATAGATTTATTAGATTTTTACTCATTATAAGTATGTTTTAAGTATTTTCAAAAAAATTATGATGTCTAAATGAAAATTCTTATGAGTAGTTCTGAGTTTATAAAATGTTCCTACTAAAGATTATAATCCTAATAATGATTTTATAAAAACAATATGTAATTTATTAGTTGTGTATTGTATTTATTATTGTATTTTTTATTTATTGTACTTTGACCATTTTTACAAAATATTATTTATATTGATAAATTAATAGTAATTGCTAACTTTTTCAAATCGTCAAAGCCTTCTATCTACTTAAGCCATTCACACAGACATATTATCCTTAAAACACAAAGTCACATAACTCAGAAACTCCTAACTTATATTTTGATTTAAATACATCAAAATTCTCAAGAAAAAATATCTACTAATTAAAAAATTAAAAATTAAAAAGGAGGTTCTTATTTGAAAATTTAAGTTTTAATTGTCACGGGATCATCTTTAAGTGATTAAAAAAATGTCAATRATTCGAAAAATGGTTCTCAAGTATATTTAAAAATTCCAAAAATCTAATTTTAATATGTGAATAATTTAACCGTAAAAACAGGATGAGCATGCTTAAAAAATCACTCTGTATAATGTCAKATAAAATGTTGCAAGTGATAATTTTGTCTTTGTAATAAACTACCTATTATTATAATTGTAAAATTGTTTTTTAATGATTCTCTTTAATGTTATAATATGTTTATTGTATTTTCTTACCA